CGGGCTGTGGGCCTACCTGGCCCTGCTGAATATTTGCTGCCCTGTGAGGTAGGGCACGTTATTTATATTCTTTGAGCTTCAGGTTCCTCACCTGAAAATGGGGACAGTGCTGTTGTGTGAGAAGTATGACCTAGTGTGGCTCCTAGTACACAGAGGATGTTCAAAAGCTGCTGCTGCTGCTGCTGCTGATGGTGGTGATGGTGGTGATGATGGTGATAATGGTGGTGTAAAGGTGGTGGTGGTGGTGGTGATAGTGGTGGCAGTGCTAGAGGCGGTGTTGGGTGGTTGGTGCTGGTGGTGGTAATGACGATGGTTATGATGACGATAGTGATGATGACAGCCATGGTAGCGATGCTCTGTACCTACCAGCTTTTGGCAGGAGCCAACATCCTGACCCTAAACTCATACATCTGTTACAAGCGCTATCCTTTCGCTCAGCCTCAGCTACGGCAAGGTGAAAAAGCAGTGTCTTCTCTTACGGTTGACAGGCCCCGTGACTGTCCTCCCGGTAGCCCGGCAGGCACACGCAGTCGGCACTCCTGTTGCTCCTCACTAAACATTGCTGCTTGTTCTCTGCGTTGCAGGTGTCATCACAGGTTGGACTCAAGGCTGCAAAACAGAGTGACTTCTGGGTAATTTCCAGACACAACCTCCTCCTACCCAAAGTGACACGTCACAGAATACAGTATTTTTCACATTGCTCTTTCTAGGTAAAAGGAAGTGCTCAGTGGTCTGCACGTAACGTGCCCCCTGTGAAGCTGCACAAGGCTCTCCTCACCGGCTCTCAGCCAAGGCCCCACCCAGGTCCGTAGGTCTACAGCCAACATTCCCACCCCTTAGACTCTGAAATGCACATGGGAACTTGAGCAGGACAGTCTGTATTTTGAAAATGCATAAGGAGAGTGGAGAGGGACATTTAGAACCGAGGGAGCCCTTACCGACACACATGGGGATCTGCGGGTTGGGCCTCACCAGCCCAGATTTGCACTGACACAATAAACCGCTGGCGCAGTTGTCCTGGTCCTTCTTCTCACAACCGTAGTAGTCACAGCGGTCTTGCTCTGAGAGGCACACAGAATTCAAAGACGAATTAGGAAGACAGTATGGATAAGGTGACTTGTAAAGCACTTGCTCAATTGTTGTGATAATTGCTTTTTAATAGGTTTGGGATTTAACAAATAAAGACCTGAGATTCTAAAATTCAAATCCCCAATCATTTCTTCTATATCTATATCCTATATTACTCAATTCAAATTAATTCAATCCAATGCAGCACAGTTATGTTCAATTTCAAGGCCTCTTTTGCACCTGGCTCTTTGCTGGATTCCACAGGGGACACAGTAGCTGTGTAAGTTTCGGGCCCCATCTTTAGAGTTATATGACTGTCACATCCAGCAGCAGCCTTAGGAACAGTGGGAACTCAGGGGCTCAGGTAGCTAAAGGTCACATTGTGGAGGAGGTGGGAACTGGGCCAAGGGCTGAAAGATGGGGAAGATATGAACAGTCAAAGGAGAGACAAAATGTGTTGAAGTGCAGTAAGTGAGGCATGAAGAGAAGTAAAGAATTGTTGTCAGGGAGTGACGGAGCTGTACTTCGACAGGGGAGAGGCAGGGAGGTGAGAAGGAAACGTCAGGATTTCTCAGCTCTGCCGTTGATTGGCTGTGGGCTTCCTGTTCAATTATTTCATTGGTGGTGGGTCCACGTTCCCTCCGTCTATGAACTAAGGCTAATGATTCTTGTTTCATGTGATTGTTGCGAGAATTGAACGAGATCATGGAAATGCAAGTGTCCACTCAACAAAGAATCGTTGTTTTGTTCATTCACAGGTAGAGCAGGGTTTGAACACAAGGCTAAGGACATCGATGTTTATCATATAAGCCTGAAAATCACTGGTCGATTTTGAGCAGAAGCATGGCAGGAGGAAGCAATCTGGTAAGTACGTTAGTCTAGAGGCAGACCGGAAGGCACTAGGGATAAACAGGTGAATGTGAGGATGGATGACGGGGAGGGGATAGGAGCAGTAGAGCAGACATGTGCTCACTCTCTTCTAAACACCCCAAATCCATACCTGGCCTTCCTTCGTCACCTGCCCTTTGAAAATGCCTCCAATTACAAGCTTAGAGAAAGAGATTCTACAGCTTTTGGCACAGAAGCATCTGTCTTTGCAGCAGGAGCAAGAGAGCAGGAGAAGCTGTTTTTCTCCAGAAGTTTGGCACTCTCACGTCCGTTTGCTGGGTGGATCATGCTCCTGTGGCCACCTCGAGCTGGCAGCATGTGGTATTAATGTATCTCAGAGTACACGCCTGGTCTCAGAGTGGGGAGATGCTGAGAGCAGCTGGTAAAGAAGAGCGTTTCTCAGTCTGAGGCTAAACGGTTTCAAGTTGGCCAGAGCTCAGAGCCAAGTGGAACCAAATGAGAGAACAGCAAAGGGAACTCAACTATAACTTGAAGGGCACAATGGTTATTTTCATCTGGTGTCCACTCTGAGTGGTCAGTCCCCATGCTGATGGGAACCCTCAACTTCCTCGCACTTGCTGGAGATCTCATCTAGCCCAAAGCAGAGCGTAGGATAAGGTTCTGTCTTGCCCTGCTGACAGTTTCACCTTCCAGGGGGAGAGGTTCTGACTGCATGAATTGCTACCCTCAGCCAAATTCTGACCCCAAGGAGAAATTTATCGGCAGGCAGAAGTGATGGGTCTCCTGGAAGACAAGGATCACGTGAGAGCCAGAAACAGGAATGTGACTTAGAGTAAATGTTGACATGTTCAGAAAGGACAAGGTGTAGTTCCATGGCACGAGACTCTGGAAAATGAAAGTAGAAGAGAAGGTAAGAAGCTCTGAAAATGTGATTATAGCTGTGCAGCTGCAAATGATCCCAAAAGATGTAGAAAAAAACTACAGTGGGAGAGTGTCTGTAACTTAAGAAACTGGCATGGTTTGCACAGAAGCTCTCAGATGAGAGACAGAAACAAAATATGAAAAGAAGGTCCTGTGACCAAAGATGGAATATTACACATGTGACACAGTCTAGAGTCCCAAATGAGTTCAAGTTTGCCACAAACAAAACCCGAAACAACAGCAAGAGTCCAATGACAAAGAGCAAAGGGTTAAACATGAAAAATGGGTAAATCAGTAAAGGGGTGTGTGTCTCTTCCACCAGGAAGTAATACTTGGATGGAAAAGAGTTGAATGGACATGGCTAAGAGAACTGAAGTCCCCGGAAAGAACACAGAGCAGAGCAGTCCCCGTCACTGCTGACAAAAGTTGAAGTATTTTATTCCAGAGCATTTATATTCCAGGTCCTGAGAGAACAGTGAGAATCTTTGTGGAATCTTGAAAAAAAGATAAAAGAGAGAGAGAGAAGGTGCCGGAAAATGATCAATGACCAGGATTTCTTTATATTTTCAAGAAGAGAAATAAGTTTTGCAAACTAGGCCATGGAGGTTCCAAACATCAAAAAGCAAACATTCAAGAGACGAAAAGAGGAGTCTTGGAAGGACCAAAAATGAGGATGAGGGAGGCGGGCAGGGGTCAGGGCAAGGTGGGGGGAGGCCCAGAGAGAAGAGGAGTTCAGGACGGGGAGGGCACCAGTGTCAGAGGCTACAGAGAAGTCAGAGAAATTGTTCCTCAGCAGAAGCCTTTGGATTTGGTTGCCACAGGGAGAACCAGTGATGAAGAACTTCCCGCAGGCCAGCCGGCCCTACCAGCTCCCTCTGAGGGGAGGACCTCCTGAGGACGGCTGTGCTGGTTGCAGTCATAGTACCAGTTTCCTCCTGCCTTCCTGTATCCACGCCCCTAGCAGCACCGGGCACACTCTGTTTGGTCATGTAAACTGCTTTGGCCATGAGGACAGTTGTAAATCTAACATAAGCAGAAAGTCAGAAACAGCTGTGTATTGAAACTTGCCCTCTTGCTGCTCTTGAAACTCTTTGGGACTAACCTGCTGGGGGGATGAGAGACCACGTGGAGCAGAGACTAACTGTCCCGCTGAGTCATCTGAGATCAACTGGTCCCCAGGAGGCCCACCCAGCAGCTAACGCAGATGCCTAGGTGAGCCCAGCAGAGATCAGCCAAGCTCCACCTAGGTCAGCACAAGTGCCCAGCTGAGCTCAGCCCACATTCTGACCCAGAGAATCACGGTGCGGTAATAAATAAATGGTGGTTGCTTTAGGCCACTAAGTTTGGGGTGTTTGTAACACAGCAGAAACGAGCTGTCACAGCTCTGCTGTGGGCTTGTGTGTCTGCCTAGAGGAGAGACAGTATAAGCAAAACTTTCTGTGAGCATTTGGAAAGCTCTAACTTGGTAGAGAGCCCTCTTTTTTCTCCTTCTTCATTTTTCCATGTTCAGAGGCTATTTGTCCAA